GGTAAATAAAAATGACTCCTTTTTATCCAACTTTTTCAAAAAAGGTTTCTACTTTTAACAACTTTTGAATATTTTTTATTGTTTTTGATGTGATTCGCAACCAAAAAGGTGGATCTTGATCTTGGAAACTACGAGAGGTTTTTAGATATCAAATTAACCAGAGACAATAACATCACTACCGGGAAGATTTACCAGGTTTAAGATCTAGATCTCAACTAATTGGAAGTTGATTGATGAGTTAGCTTTACTAAATCTTTTTTTGTTTGTCTCTGTCACACAACAGCATGTTATTGCTAAGGAGAGGAAAGGAGATTATTTGGGAAACACTGTTCAGGTAAAATAGCTATCTCTTTCTCGTTTCATGTTCTGGTGTTGGTTTCTTTCAACTTTGTAAAGTTTTTGAATTGTAATGATTTAGGTTGTTCCTCATATCACTGATGCAATTCAAAAATGGATCGAGAGAGTTGCGATGATTCCTGTTGATGGAGAGGAGGGTTCTGCGGATGTTTGTGTTATCGAATTAGGAGGAACTATAGGTTATACAACAAACTTGTATTAATTTTTGTTTGTTTCTTTCTTGCTTTGCTTCTTCTTTGTAAACAGAGTTTCTTTACGTTTGCAGGTGATATTGAATCTGCGCCTTTTATTGAGGCTCTTGGCCAATTCTCGTACCGTGTAGGTAAGAATCATTAGTAGTCATGATACCATTTGAATCCAAAAGAGCAAAGAAAATATCTGTGGGGGAAATTTTGGGATAATGATGAAAATTAACTTATTCATCTTTGGTTGGTGGTTGAGTTTAGGTGCAGGGAATTTCTGTCTGGTCCACGTCAGCCTCGTGCCTGTGCTTAATGTTGTTGGTGAACAGGTATAATACTTATCCTGAAATGGAGCAGCCATGATGTGACAGCATTTGATTCTCTATGTCTACTTTAACTTCATTTGCTTATCTTTCAGAAAACGAAGCCGACACAGCATAGCGTTCGGGGGCTACGTGGCTTGGGCTTGACACCTGATATCTTAGCTTGTCGGAGCACAAAGGTTTTTACTTTCATTTCAATGTCAACTTGAAATCTGTTTCACCTAGAATTTACAGTCTCTTGTTCTGATATAAAAGGCTCTTTATCTTTTTCTTCATTAAGGCACTTGAAGATAATGTGAAAGAAAAACTAGCTCAATTTTGCCATGTCCCGGTAAGAAGCTGCCTTTTGTCTCTCACTGCTATGTTATTTACTTGAAATATTGTTTATTTACCAGCTTACGGTTCTTGTTTCAGCTTGAGTATATCTTCACTCTCTACGATGTTCCCAACATTTGGCATATTCCTCTGTTGCTAAAGGTACCTTTTCTCAACTAAAACTATCTGTTAGTCACTACGCGAGTTGTTGTTATAGATCCTTAGGACAACAATAATCAATGCGCATATTCTGTTGAACAGGATCAGAAGGCTCACCTTGCAATCTCAAAAGTGCTCAATCTTGCTAGGTATCTATTAAATCTTGATTTGTTCTTCTGTTTTCTTGGTATGTTGCTGGTTGGATTGGAAGTGATCTTTTGTTGTTTCTGAAACAGTATTGTTAAAGAGCCTTCTCTAGTGGAATGGACTTCCAGAGCTGAATTATGCGACAACTTACATGTGCCGGTGGGTCTCAGCTCTCAATAATTCCTTATAAGCTATAATCTTGACGTCTCTTTTTTAACGCAGCATATCAATTTACAGGTGAGAATCGCTGTTGTGGGGAAATACACAGGGCTCTCCGATGCTTATCTCTCTGTCTTGAAGGTAAAACTTATGCATCACCTCTCATGGGATAGTCTGTATAACAAAATGTTTGCCTTTGCCTCTGTTCTCACATTTGGATAACTTTTTTAGGCTCTCTTACATGCTTCTGTGGCTTGCCGCAAAAAGCTAGTAGTTGATTGGGTTCCAGCTTGTGATCTCGAAAAAGAAACTGAGAAAGAGGTCTGTGAAACCAAATATTTAATGTTAACTACACATGTATGCCTTTATCTGCTCTCAAAATGTTAATCTTTTCTTTTTCTTTAAGCAGAATCCAGATGCGTATAAAGCTGCTTGGAAGTTACTAAAGGTTTGAAATGTTTTTCATTTTACAACTTTAACCATTGATGATAAGCCTTTATGTGTTTTTACTCATATAATTTTGTATCTTCTTCAGGGTGTAGATGGAGTTCTTGTACCCGGAGGTTTTGGTGATAGGGGAGTGGAAGGGAAGATTCTTGCTGCTAAATATGCCCGTGAAAACAAGATACCTTTCCTTGGTATCTGTCTCGGGATGCAGATTGCTGTCATTGAGTTCGCAAGATCAGTTCTCTGCTTGCAAGACGCAAACAGCACAGAGTTTAAACCGGACACCAAACATCCATGCATCATATTCATGCCTGAGGTTAATAGATTCTCCATGTCTCTTTAACCTGAAATGTAGCTTCTTTACCGTCTTCCTGATTTCAGTTTATGTTCTTGCTTGGTTGGTTTAGGGTTCAAGAACTCATATGGGAGGCACTATGCGCTTAGGATCAAGAAAATCCTTCTTCAATGTCAAAGACAGCAAATCTGCAAAACTGTAAGAAACCATTTGATCTTTATATTTGACTTGGTTTGTTCTACATATAAATTCTTTATAGATTTTACTTAGCATGATTCTGTTTACTCTGTTTTTACAGATACGGTAACAAAAACTTTGTCGATGAGAGGCATCGCCATAGATATGAGGTATGGATCTCTTGAATATCTTCCACTTATAAATGAAAAACAAAGCTGAGTTCTTGACATATACATACACTGTTCTTGCAGGTGAATCCTGATATGGTTGAACGCCTTGAGAAGGCCGGTCTCTCTTTCGCTGCGAAAGATGAATCTGGCAAACGCATGGAGGTCTGTTTTATATCCTATTGCAGCTAAAAGAAAAGCTTTCAGCTTTGACTAATCTTATACTAAAACTTGCAGATTATTGAACTTCCAAGCCATCCTTTCTTCATCGGAGCTCAATTCCACCCGGAGTTCAAGTCCAGACCTGGAAAAGCTTCTCCTCTCTTCTTAGGTCAGAACCCATTTCATCATCAGTCAAAAAGATCCAAACTTTGTCTCTAAATTAACCTGAAGTCAACACAAGTCATCTAAACAATTTGTTGCTTCTTATTTTCAGGACTCATTGCAGCTTCGTGTAGGGAGCTAGAAACAGTCCTGAATCCAGCTTCTGCTCATCAAAATGTGATAAGCAACGGTACAAAAAACGTTTTCGTCAATGGAGCTTCCAAGAAAGCTACCAATGGACTGGCTGATGATGTAAGATATAATAACGGATTCTGCAATGGCCTCTACACTAGATAGCTGCAGTTTGAAGGATCTCTGTTCTTCCTCTCTCCACATTAGAGTTTTGAGTTTGCTTCGTTTTTGGATTTTGGTTTGCCTTTCTTTTCTTATGAACTCAGGATTTTCCTTTCTTTGCATATGATTAAAGCTTTTGTTCAGGTTCTTAAACATCTGACAATTGCTGTTGATTTCCCCTGGTTTGTGTTTTTTTGCATCGAAAGGGATTTCATATGATCATATGTCCTGTTTGGAACATTTTGTATCTCGATTTGGTCTGAATGTTAAAGAGGCATCTTATAAATAAAACTCATAATAAAAAGATTCAATTCTTTTTTGTTCCTTATTTTTATTTAAACTAAAATTTGGGCATCAACTTGTGAAAGAGAGGAGCTATGAAGAAAATGAATGAAACGATCAAGGATGAATTTAAAAATGAAGATTTTGAGGAATGAAGATGAATATTGCAGAAAATTAATTAATGAAATAAACTTAAAACTATTGTGCAGTACTCAAGACAAAATTTGTGTTCCGATTTGTGACCATTCTGAACAATGAATGAAAACTCATCCAAACGTGCATTTAGACACACGGTAGTTTGCTTAGAATCCACTTTGACTAAAAGGATAAACGGTAATAAGTTTAAGGAACTATGAAAATATGCTGTTCCTCTTTTTTTTTTTTTTTTTTTTTTTTTCTCTGAAAAGTGATCACCAATTTTGAAACCAGAAAAACGTTTTGTTATTACTGTAGCATGTTTAAATGCGCTTTTGGATGTTTTCACACAAATGTCATCTCAATTCTTTGTTATTTTTTTTGGGGGTTAAAGGTCTACTGGACTTTTTTTTTTGACCAAAGGCATAGGGTCTACTGGACTTTTTCTCAATTTTTTTGCGTAGTGGTAGAGACGAATTTCTGTTTTCATTCTTTTATCACAAGTTTGTGAATATATAATTTTTTTTAGAAAATAAATTGTTTTTTTCATTTACACTGCTCATGAGCTTTGATGAAGAACTATTTTCTCTATGTTCTTCACAAAAAGAAGAACGATAAGGATTCATATGGAATTCAATTTAGCTAAAGTCAGTAAACATTGTTTCTAAATGGTAACAAATATAAGGAGCTATTAAAAGATGTTGTCCCTCCTCATTTTTCCTCTTAAAAATGATGAGCATTTTTTTATAAAAACATGTTGTTATGTTAATGCGTATTTAAATGCACGTTTGGATACATTTCACACAAATGGAATTTCAACTCTTTTTTCGGATTAACAGATCCAATGGACCTCTCCACAAAAAGTTGTGGAGAGGTACAAACTTTGATATTCCGTGTTTTCGTGTTCATTCTTATATGACAAGTTGGAATATATGGAAAATTCTCCGGAAAATAGATATGAATTTCTTCGAAAGTTAATGTATTCAAATTAAATTTCTATGGATTGAAGAGTTGCAAAAGAAAAAAAAAACGTACATTCGTAACTGTTCATGGTTAATAAAAAGGCCAACAAAGGCTCTTTGCTTTTCCCTCATTACCTCTTTTTCATATCAAAACAATTTTCTCATCTTCAAGGTAAGAAACAAAATTCCTTTGATATTCCCTTCAAGGTTTTAAAACTCTTGATCCCTCTCGGTCGTTAAATCTTTTGGTTTATTTGTGTGTTTTTTTCAGAGCTATGCAGAATAACAGACAAAGAGCACTTGTTTTTGCTGACCTTGAAATAGAAGGGAGAAGAGTCGAATGTCCAAGATGTCACGTTCCATTCACTCCTCATCTTGGTATATAATAAAAATAAAATCGTGTTTTCGATTCTCTTTGGTTATAAACGTATAATAATGTTTAATGTTTTTTCCTTGAAACTATTAAGAGTTTTTGGTTTTGTTTACTACAGGAAATTTGATTTCACCCTTTCAATGTGGAAGCTGCAGAGCTAACTTATCTTACAAAACTAACTCAGGAAGAACAGTGAGATGTCCTTGTTGTAACTTCTCACGTCCTATGCCTGAACTTAGAACTCTTGTCTGTCCCGGATGTGGTGTAACAGTCATACATCAAAATGGTGATCGAGCTGTGAAATGTTCTCTCTGCAAACACATCACAACAAGACCTGTAAAGTCTTCTGTTTTTTTTTTTCTCTCATCATTTGTACAGTTGAAAATATTGTTTGCATTTTATTTTAAATTTCTAATAATTTTTCTGGTTGTTCCTCCTCAAATTAACCAGATTGTTCCTCCTCAAGATAACCCGGTTCCTCCTCCTGAAGTTAACCGGGTTCCTCTTGCTCAAGTTAACCAGGTTGTTCCTCCTTCTGAAGTTAACCGGGTGGTCCCTCCTCCTCAAGTTAACCCGGTTCCTCCTGCTCAAGTTAACCAGGTTGTTCCTCCATCTGAAGTTGACCGGGTTGTCCCTCCTCCTCAAGTTAACCGGGTTGTTCTTCTTCCTCGAATGAACCGGAGGAGTCGTACAGCAACTGAAACAACTGCTAGTTCTTCTTTTAATGTAAGTTATCTCTCTCTCTCTCTTTCTTTTTCTCTTACATGATGTACGATCTTGCTTCATAATAACAAGACGATTACCCTTTTTGCAGCCAAAGCCTGAGAGCTCACACACCACTATAGAATCTATTGCCGATTCAGTTGCTGAATCTGTTGCTGAAATTGTAATTACTGAACTTTACTTTTTTTTTGTTTTTTTGCGTGGAAATTCGATATGAAGGATAGATTATGTAGAAAGTTTTAATCTTGTTTAATTATCAGTTTACACCCCAAAATCAAGAGAATGCAATATTGTTACTAAATACATTATGCTTATCGTTTTTTTTTTCTCTGTTCAGGTGAGGAATGCAGTTCTTGCAATCGCAAGAGTCAAGAGAGAAGCTGAAGAAGACAACACAGAAGCAAAAAACAAGAAGATTCGTCTTGATTAATCAAAAGTACTGTACTACACAAATTGATTTCTTTTCTCATTTGTCTCAGCAAATCCAAATTTGCATTATTTTTTTTTCCTCATCATTTCTTTTATTTTTACCCTATTTCAGTGATTCTGTACTGTATTACACAATTTCTCCTCTTATTGATTTTAATATATTTTTGATTCTACCATTTTCAACCTCTTTGTCCTTTCCTTTTAATGTCAAAGTAATTGAGTATAAAAAATTAAAAACTGTTACTAAATTATGGTTGATTTCACATCAAAACGACAGCGTTTGGATAAAAAAAGAAACGGTCAAACTCTTTTACTTTTCCGACGCGGAGAGAAACAAAAACCCAAAAAGGACGACGACGATGATGACGGAACAAAAATATAAAAGGGGCAGAGAACCGTAAATAAACAGAAATCTCGAGGGCAATCTGATAAAAATATTCCAAGATTAGATCGTACGGTACCGTGTCGGCTTTTAGCTTTTGGTGGTTGATCTTAACGCTGATCCGTTAAAAACTGTGAGTTGCGTTATCTTTGGCGGGTGTTCTCTAACTTCCTCGTTTTCCCCAGAAACTCCACTTCTAATCATTCTCTTGTCTTTCTCTGTCTCAATCTCTCTAATCATCTTTATCGTACAGTTAACCGGTTCGATTTTATTTATTTATTTAAATATATTAATTGTATATTCGATATAGATAAAAGAAGATTCGTGAAATCAGAAAAAATTCGCAAGAATCTGAGCCGTTGGTTTGAGGTAAACTCATATCTTTTCGTCCTTTCCTTTTTTTTTAAACCTTAATTAAAAATAAAATAAATATTATTTTGTTTATTCCTGGTCTAGTTCGGTTTGTTTTTGGATTTTTCTCTGTTCCTTGTTATTCGTTACTAGGTCAATTAATTCCCTTTCTTTAATCTTCCCAGATTTGGGTATCTCTGTTTTTAACTGCGGATTCAATTTTCTTTAGCATTAATCGGGGAAAAAAGGAAAACTTTGAAGCTTTCTCGTTTTTGATTTAGGTAAATGAATAAAATAAATATATATCAGCAAATTATATAGTTTTCTCCAATCTTCTTAGGAAATTCCCTAACTCGTGCTGTTGTGATTTGATTTAAATTCTCGATTTTTGTTTGATACTCAATTGTTATTGTTCTTGTTGGTGATCCCCTGGTATTCAATTAGGGTTAGTGCTTCTTACTTGTCTGTATTAATATCGTTTTTATAGCCTCTGGAGATTGATTGAACATCGTTTTCTTATCCTTTTGGTGTTGTTTTCTTCTCAGTTTTCGTTGGCTCTCATTGAAAAAAACATAATTGAAGAGTGATTTCAATCCACATGGAACATCTCAGTGTTGCTCAATCAGAATCTGAGATCAAAGAGGTTAGCTTTCAATCTTATTGATAATTGAATCGATTAATCAACGTTTTTGGTTTTATTTGTTCATCACTCAATAACCATAACGTTAGGTTTCTCTGTGATTTGTAGATTAGCTCTGTCTCTGATTATTTTTCGGATCTCGTTTGGCTAATCACCTAATCATAGATCATAGATCCCTTGTCTGTTTTTTAATCTTTAAATATTGAATCCTAGATTGGTTTGGTGCTTTGTTCGTCATATTTTTTGGTGTTTGTTTGATCTGATGACACAGTTTCTAACTGTTAATTAGAATTTCATTGGCATGATCAAAACACTAATCTATAACTGTCCACAAACTAAACATGAATTGATAAACTTATGTGGTTTTTCTCTCTTTTCCAGGATACTTCTTTGAAGAATAATCCTCCAGACAAAGATAAGGACAAAGACACAAACATGGAACCACCTACTAGTCCACGTCATCGGGAGGTAAGAGAGATATATATTATAATGTAATCTGATGCAATCCAAATTTGAAATCTGAAACAACTTTGAATGCTAACATAATGTTTTTGTATATGTCAAAAGGTTATTGCTAGATGGTTACCAGCTGAAGCACAGAGACCAATCATCGACGAAGCTCCAGTTTTCTCTCCATCATCAGAGGTACTAAATTCCTTCTTCTTGTTTCCATGAAATCTACTTTTTTGAGATTCTTTTTCGTTTCTTTTGTTGATGTTTTGAGTTTATCTTCGTTGATTTTGGTTGCATCAGGAGTTTGAAGACACACTATCTTACATCGAAAAGATACGTCCACTAGCAGAGCCGTACGGTATATGCCGAATCATCCCGCCCTCGACGTGGACACCTCCTTGCCGTCTCAAGGAGAAGACCATATGGGAGCACACAAAGTTCCCCACCCGGATACAGAACGTGGACCTCCTCCAGAACCGAGAGCCGATGAAGAAGAAACCAAAGAGCAAGAAACGAAAACGAAGAAGAAACGGTTCTTCTAGGAGACGTTCTTCTCCTCCATCCGAGCCTGCTGCTTCCTCCTCCTCCTCCTCTCCCGAAGCCGAGGAGAAGTTCGGTTTCAACTCTGGCTCGGACTTCACACTCGAGGAGTTTGAGAAGTACGCGCTGCATTTCAAAGAATCATACTTTGAGAAGAAAGACACGAAATGGACACCCTCCGTGGAGGAGATCGAAGGCGAGTACTGGCGCATCGTGGAGACGCCGACGGACGAAGTGGAGGTTTACTATGGAGCTGACTTGGAGAACGGGGTACTCGGGAGCGGGTTCTACAAGAGAACGGAAACGCTAACCAGTAGCAGCGATCTTGACCAGTACGTAGCTTCGGGATGGAACTTGAACAACTTACCTCGTCTCCCCGGCTCTGTCCTCTCGTTCGAGGATTGTGACATCTCTGGAGTGTTAGTCCCGTGGCTCTACGTTGGAATGTGTTTCTCTTCGTTCTGCTGGCACGTGGAGGACCATCATCTTTACTCTTTGAACTACCATCACTTTGGAGAGCCGAAAGTGTGGTACGGTGTTCCTGGAAACAATGCGACCGCGTTAGAGAAGGTGATGAGGAAGCATTTGCCTGATTTGTTTGATGAACAGCCTGATCTTCTTCATGGTTTGGTTACTCAGTTCTCTCCTTCGATACTGAAGGAAGAAGGAGTTGAGGTTTATAGGGTGGTTCAGAACGCTGGAGAGTATGTGTTGACGTTCCCGAGGGCGTACCATGCAGGGTTCAACTGCGGTTTCAACTGCGCGGAAGCGGTTAACGTGGCTCCGGTTGATTGGTTGGCTCATGGACAGAACGCTGTTGAGCTCTACAGTAAAGAGACGAGGAAGAGTTCTCTTTCTCATGACAAGCTTCTGTTGGGAGCTGCTTACGAAGGTGTGAAGTCTCTTTGGGAGCTCTCTTCTTTGGGGAAGGAGGAGAATGCAACGAACTTGAGGTGGAAGAGTTTCTGTGGGAAGAACGGAACGCTCACGAACGCGATCCAGGCTAGGTTACGTATGGAAGAGGAGAGGATTGGAGCTCTTGGAAGAGATGCTTCGAGTTTAGTGAAGATGGAGAAGGGTTTTGATTCAAACTGTGAGAGGGAATGCTCTTCATGTTTTTATGATTTGCATCTCTCTGCTTCTGGCTGCAAGTGCTCTCCTGAAGAGTACGCGTGCCTTAAACACTCGGAGGATCTCTGTTCTTGTGAAGAGGAGGATAGGTTTGTTCTTGTCCGTTACACCATGGATGAGTTAAGCTCGTTGGTGAGAGCATTGGAAGGTGAATCAGACGATTTAAAGATATGGGCTTCTAAGGTCTTAGGCAGTCAAGAAGATGAGACAAAGAAGACTAGTTCGGTTGTCAGTGAAGAGAAGAAGTTGAAGAAAGGCTCTTCGTTTGATCTAAACATCGACTTAGAGTTGGACTGTCATGAAGAAGACGTTAAAGAAGAAGAAGCCAGCACCAGTGGAGAGTTAGCCGCTTCAGAGAGCTTTGGTGGGTCGATCGAGCCAATGAGCCTCGGGTTCTTGATTTTTGGAAAGCTTTGGTGCAATAAACATGCCATATTCCCAAAAGGTACTATTCTTTGAGAAAAACCTTTAGTTTGTGTATATACACTTAAATCAGAAATTTGTTTGTTGATGTTTTTTACAACTTTTTTTACAGGATTCAAGAGCCGTGTCAAGTTCTACAACGTTCTTGATCCGACAAGAATGAGCAATTACATCTCCGAGGTTTTAGATGCAGGACTCATGGGACCATTGTTCAAGGTAAAACAGAGTTTTAACCGCAACATTCTCTTTGCATAAACTGAATCTTGTATAGTAAAATGAAGACTTATGGCTTTTATCTACTCGTTCAGGTTACTCTGGAAGAGTCTCCAGAAGAGAGCTTCTTCAATGTCTCGGCACAACAATGCTGGGAAATGGTGCTGCAGAGAGTTAGAGATACATCCACAATTCTTGGTCTTCCTACTTCACCGCGGTTTGAGGGTATCAACGGGCTTCAAATGTTTGGTTTCCTCTCGCCGTCTATAGTTGAGGTAAAACATCTAATCTTCTTCATTTCCAAGCCTCTCAATGATTTTTATTCTTGTACACAACTTAAAATCTCTCTCTTTGACAGGCCATTGAAGCTCTTGACCCGAACCATCGACTAGTAGAGTACTGGAACCACAAGAGCCAAACTTCATCGGAATCAAAAGATCACTTCATATCATCAAACCGCTCCGTGAGTTTGACCAAAGGAAAACTTTTCGGAGTAGATTTGATGTAAAAATTTCAAGAAGCAACAAGAGAGTACAAGACTGTACACCAAACTCCGAGACCAAGACAGTAAACTACCTTTTAGATAGATAGAAGAAATCAAGAAACTTTTTTCTTTTTCTTTTGGGGAAGCATTTATTCAAAATCTTTTGTTCTTTGGTTTCTCAGCAATTTTTCAGTGAACAAATAACCTAACCTTAGCGTTAGAAGTGTAAACTAGGAAACGTAAAAGTTCGATTCTTTCGCTTATGCGATCTTATAATAATACAAAATTCTTCTTTAAATTCAAGAAGATGTCATTCAATTCCTTGTATTACTTAGTGTGAGAAAACATTGAAGAACTACAAAGTATAGACTAAAGAGATTTATGTACAGTCTTGAAAGAAGAAAACATTGCAGAACTATAGACTAAAGAGCTTTATGTACATAATCTTGAAAACTATAAAACTCAAATCTTGAATGAAGAAAAAGCTTCAAGGACAAAAGGAGATATTTTTTCCCGCCGTTCGTGGAATCTTGACGGTTAATACGCCGGAAAATGTCACCGGAACGTAGAGTCAGAGTAAAGCAAGAGCCAGTGGAAACAATGATGAGAAATGTGCAATGGAGACGGAAGAAGCAGAGGTTTGATTAGTGTTGGATTCTGGTTCAGGGCGATGACGAATACGATTACGATGAGACCAAGGACGGAGACTATCGGCTAAAGTTGTATCGCCGCCGTTTCCGAGATCGCCGTTACCGAGTTCGCCGTAACGAGAGAAATCAAGCGACGAAGCAACGCCGTGAATGGCGATCGAGGAAGAGAGGAAGAGATCTGGTTCGGAGACGAGAACTCCGTCGAGTGTGAAACAGGAAGCAGAGCTGTTCGTGACGACGATCGAGTTTCCGCGGAGGAGAGTCGGAAGACGAGAGAGAGGTTTCATGAGACGGAGATCGGCGAACGAGAGACGCTGAGGGACGATGTGGTAAGCGACGGAGAGACGACCGGAGTTAGAGCCGCCGGTGGAGGAGGATACGTCGGCGGCGTCGAAATCGCTGGGGATGAACATTGTGGCGGAGAGAGGAATCCCGAACTGGTCGTCGACGGCGGAGAGGAAGTCGGCGGCCCAGTCGCGGAAATCTCCGGATCCGATCATCGCTTCGATGATCCTGTCTGCGTGTTGCTGATCTTGCGGTGTCATTGACAGTTGAGAAGCGGCGGCAGCGAGGGATGAGACGGTGGAGATAAGGAAGAGGAGAAGGATGTAGCTTGAGGTGGCCATCGGAGAATCGAATCGGCGGCGAAGTTGTTACAGAGAGAGAGAATCAATCTTGAAGTCTTATGAAGTTCGTTAGAGTTCTCTCTTGTAACGAAGAGGAGGAAGTTGCATTTTATAGCTACTCTGTTTAAATGAGAGGAAAGATGTACCGTATCGGTTTGATTAAAGAGAACCGGGTAAACCGGGATTTTAATTAATTTAAAGCTTTGCCTTTATGTCATCCACAAAATGTAACATAATCTGATTATTTATATCCAATCATTTCAACAATCTTTCTTGTAAAATGAATTATCTTACCCTTAACCAGTCGTGCACATCTACGATAACCTATTCTGATTTGGATTGGTAAGTTTTGATTCGATTCAGTTCGGTTCAAGTATTTTATCCAACTGTAACATTTTTCTATACAAAATATAAGTAAGCGGATCTAGTATTCAGTATTCAAATATCAAACATGATTATGAAATGTGATTATTCTCATTATTCTTGTAAAATGTCATGTACAAAGTATATATAAAGATGGTTAAGCTAAAGGAAACTAAACCACCGGTTTAATATCTACAATTGAACCAAGTCTATAATCTAATACACCCCTCTCAAGCCTGTAAAAGCGGAACATAGACTGCAGCATGATCAGGATCAGGATTATGTATGATCGGAATCGTGTGAGGATGAAACATGCTTGAAATAGACAAGTGATGAAGGAGGTTGTAGAAAGGACCCGATTGTAGAGGTTTGGTGAGAATGTGAGCATGCTGATTCTCATTAGCAACATGAAAGAGCTTCATGAATCCATTCTTCACTTGATCACGAACGGTGTGACAATCAACTTCAATGTGTTTAGTGCGCTCGTGGAAGACGGGATTGCTCGCAATATGCATTGCAGACTTGTTGTCACAGAACAACTTTGCCGGAGCAGTCGGAGTGATCTTCATGTCACGAAGAAGTTGGTTCAACCATAGCAATTCACAAGTAGCAAGGGCCATACTCCGATACTCAGCTTCAGTACTGCTACGACTCACGGTTTGTTGCTTCTTAGACTTCCACGTGATGAGAGATTTGCCAAGGTAGACCATATAGCCCGTAACAGAGCGTCGTGAATCAGGGCATGTAGCATAATCCGCATCAGTGAAAGCATTCAAGCACACTTCAGAGTCAGCAGAGTAAAATAAACCTTGAGCCGGATTTGCCTTGATGTAATGCAGAATCCGATGAGCAGCCTGAAGATGTATATCAGTCGGACAGGAAAGGAACTGACTAAGATTATTCACCGCGAAAGTAATATCAGATCGCGTTATCGTCAAGTAGAGAAGACGGCCAATTAGCTCTCGAAACGGATTACTACTGGCGAGTGGCGTGCCTGTGTCTTTGCGAAGCCGCAACGTAGGATCCATCGGAACAGAAGCCGGCTTGCAATCGAGAAGACCCGTCGGCGTGAGAATGTCTAAGGCATATTTCCGTTGACAAATGGAGATGCCTTGCTCCGTCCGTGAAATCTCCAAACCCAAAAAGAACTTGGGAACACCAATGTCCTTGATCTTGAAAGCCTCGTGGAGATGACATTTGAGAGACTCCAGTTCATCTTTAACAACGCAATGAATGACACTTCAGTGATCTTGACAAACAGAGTGTTGTCACCTGGAGATTGAACGAAACCGGCTTTAAGAACAACGCCGGAGAAGCAGTGATACCACTGATGAGAGGCTTGCTTCAGGCCATAAAGAGATTTGTGCAGACGACAGACCAGATTCGGAGGGAGAACGCCATTGGATGGTGTATAACCGAGAGGCAGAGTCATGTAGATCTCCTCATCCAGACCACCGTGAAGAAACGCATTAGTCACATCCATCTGCCAAAGAATCCAACCAAAAGACAAAGCCAAGCCCAGCAAGTATTTCACACTAGCAAGTTTAGCAACAGGACTGAAAGTCTCGATGTAGTCAATCCCTTCTTGCTGAGTGTAACCTTTGGCCACCAAACGAGCCTTGTATCTCTCGATCGTACCATTAGAAAGATATTTAATGGTAAACACCCACTTACAACCAATCACGTGCTTTCCATCGGGCAAAGTCACAATGCTCCATGTACCTAAAGCTTCCAGAGCAACAATTTCCACATCCATCGCATTGTTCAAAAATGGATTTTTAATAGCTTCCAAAAAATTCTTCGGTTCCGTCTCATTTGATATAGAAAGAATGAAAGATTGGTATGGGGGACGAAGTTTATGGTAAGCTAGAACAGAGGATAGGGGAAAAGGAATATGAGGAGCAATAGAAGGAGTGACTTGTGGGTTATGATAGTGAGCAAAAAGAGAACAATAATAATCAGAAAGATAGCTAGGGGCTTTACCTTGTCGCTTGGGTCTGACAGTGGGACGTGAGACCTCTTCTGCAGCCGGTGCAACAGCTTCCACCCGAGAAGATGGAACACTAGAGTCCCGAGAAAGTGGCACAGGATGTAATGATGCAGATGAATGACCAGGAACATGACTAGACTCAGAAACAGGACTAGTACGATCATGAGATGCAATAACAGAAGGTTCATTATGAATGCATGTCTCAGAAGGTTCCAAATGCACAACAGGAGATGAAATGCCAGATGCAGATGCAGGAGAAGGGTCAGAAGATACCAAATGAGGCTCACTCGACGGAGTAAGAGGGGAAGGAACAGACGTTACCGGTACAGGGGAAATTTGAGGCTCCAGTCCAATATCAGGAGGAGGTGAAATCGGTAACACGAAAGTACCAAACAAGTCATTGATAGGTGTAATGGGGGCTCGCTGTTTAAAGGGAAACACATTCTCGTGAAATATAACATTCCGAGAAACAGAAACAACGTTAGTATCCAAGTTGAGAACCTTATATCCCTTGTAACCAAACGAGTAGCCAAGAAAAACACAAGGGACAACACGAGGGCTAAACTTGTTACGATCTTTATGATGTGTAGAGACATAGCATAAGCAGCCAAATGATCGTAAGAAGGAATAGTCAGGAGATTTGTGAAACAATACCTCATATGGGGATCGTTTATCCAAGAGTAAAGAAGGAGTCCGGTTGATAAGGAAAACAGCTGTTAATACACAGTCACTCCAATACACCAAAGGCATGTTGGATTGAAACATCAAGGCACGAGCAACATTCAAAAGATGCTGGTGTTTCCTCTCAACCACTGAATTCTGCTGAGGCGTATAAGCGCAAGAGAATTGATGGACCATACCATGGTTACGCACCAATTGATGAAAAGCAAGTTCAGGAGCATTATCACTGCGAATAGCTTTAATTTTGGCATTATACTGAGTAGAAATATGTTCAATAAACGCAGGAAAAATATCTGAAACATCACTTTTATTTCTCAACATGTATAACCATGTAACACGGGTACAATCATCAACAATAGTAAGAAAATAACGAAAACCTTCAACAGACTCGACTCTAAAAGGGCCCCATATATCCAGATGAACAAGATCAAAAGGAGGCAGACAAACGATTATTAGAAACAAAAGGCAACCCTTTTTGTTTAGCTAAAGGACAAACATCACAATGACTATGACTCGATTTTGACATTGGTAAAATACCAGGAATATGTTGTAGCTTGGCAGAAGAAGGATGGCCCAGACGTTGATGCCATAGATGACTATCCACCAAAGAGCCACAGAGATGTCGAGAAGAAAGAAGATTAGCTGACTCTAATATGTAGAGGTTATGAATGAGAACTCCTTTACCAATCGTCAAGTCCTGAATATGGTCCTGAATAAAACAGGAATCATGATAGAAGTGAGCAGAGCATTTCTGATATTGAAGAAGAGAACTAACACTAAGCAGGTTAAACTTGAATGCAGACACATGCAAGACATCATGCAAAATGAGATGCTCGGAAATATGCACAGTGCCAATGTGACTAATGGGAACACTAGTGCCATCGGGGAAGGAGACTGTTACACCTGTTACAGGAAAAGTCTCATGAAACAAAGTCAAATCCGAGCAAACATGGCTAGTGGCACCACTATCTATAATCCAAGAACCAATGGGGAGAATAGAAGAAAGGGAAGAAAGACATTGATGTGAAATGTGAGAGAATGGTTTTCATAACGAAGGCTAGAAGATGGAAAATCAATTGAGACGTTACCAGAAGTAGATTGAGGATCCATATAACCATTCGCTGTAATAGATGCAGATAGGGAAGGAGACGATTGCTCTGAGACTCGGACATGTGCACTGAGTTGATTGATCAAGGATTGCACCTGATCAGCTGTAAAGTGAGTGAGATCAAGAGGAGCAGAGCTTCCCAAAGGACCAGCCACAGCATTAGCAACATTGGCTTTCTGGGAGGTCTGAGGAGGATACGACGAACGAGATCCCTGCTGAGAAGACGGAAACTGTGGTGGAGCAGAGTTAGGCTTCTGGTAGAATTTATGTCCCGGAGGATAACCATGAAGCTTATAACATTTCTGCACAGTGTGACCAGTCCGTCCACAGTGAGTACATACAGGTTTCTGTTGGCGAGAATACGAGGCAGCATAGGCAGCATTATCCATCGGGCCATTGTAGGAACCCTGATCAGAGGCATCACCATACGTAGCAACTGGTCCAGTATTCTGAAAGGCTACATTGGGTTTCGAAGAAGGTTTGATACTCTTCTGACGTTCATCCTGAGAAACCATATTGAACACATCTTCAATGGATGGTATTGGCTTCAGAACCAAAATGTGACGCCGAGTAGGTTCATACACTTCATTCAAACCCATCAAGAACTTCGTGACGCGGCTACGCTGCTGCAATTTCTCCCAACAAGCAGCTGCATTACACTCACATTTTCCACAAGTGCAAAGAGGAAGCTCAATGTAGTTGTGATACTCTTCCCACAAGGTAACCAATTCGGTGTAGTAAGTACTAACATCCATGGAACCTTGCTGCAAATTGCTCAAGCGTTGTTCTATTTCATAAACGCGAGGAGCATCGTCCTGCCTAAAACGAGACATCAAATTCTTCCAAATCTGTTCAGCAGTCGACATGAATAACAAGCTCTGGCCTATCTTCTTCGATACCGAGTTCATAAGCCAAGTCGCTACCATATCATTGCATCTAGACCAACTACCAGCATCCCTATGTCCATTAGGCGGTTTAGGAATCGTACCATCAATGAAGCCCAGCTTGTTGCGGACGTTGAGGGCCATACGAACCGAACGGCGCCAAGAGTGGAAATCCGATCCAGAAGCAAGACGATCGGAGACGAGGATGAGACCGGCGTGATCAGAAGAATGCAGGAAGTAAGGATTCTCGTATTGGTCAATCAATGGCGGACGAAGATCGGGAATCGCAGTGGAGTCATCGGAAGATCCCATTCCAAATGTTGAAATTGAGATCGACGAAGAAGAATCAAGCCGCAGAGAGTAATGAAAAACGAGAAACGGCGTTGATTAAGGTCAACAGAAAGAAGAAATGAGCAGAATCAAAACGGAAAGAGAAAGAGACGAAAGAAGCTCAATCACTGCGATTATCAGCTGGAAAACGAAATCGGAGACGATCAAAGTGAAGGAAACACTCATGATTAAAGATCAGAAGCTCGATTTCGTCCAGATCTGAAGAGAAAAGTGAAGAAAAGCTTGAATGAGAATCAATGGCGGAAGAAAGTTTGTTAGGAGCTGTTTAGCTCTGATACCATAATAAGAGCATGATTATGAAATGTGATTATTCTCATTAATTGTGTAAAATGTCATGTACAAAGTATATATAGAGATGGTTAAGCTAAAGGAAACTAAACCACCGGTTTAATATCTACAATTGAACCAAGTCTATAATCTAATACAGTATATATGAAAATTTCAATTACTAATCCGTATTATGATTAAACTGATTCTTTTCTTTTTTCCTTTTAACTTTTTTTTTCTTCTGTTGTTATCACAGATTAGTAATAATTTTGTGGAAGATCAAACCTTTCATTTTTATTCATATTCTAGTTACAGTAGTTCTAATTATTTGATGAATCTCTTACTCATAACACCAAAAAATAAGATTAAAACAGAAATACACAGAAAATACACATATACACCGAAAGTCCACCTATTAAAAATTAATTTCTTCATGTATAGATTCTTTTCATGAAAAGAATTTTGAATAAACATGGGGATCTCATATTCCATATAAAGATATATAAAAAATTTAAAATTGGCAACATGATGATTGATCAACACATGTATTGAAATAATATCGGAGTTTCATACATACGTTATACTATAATGTAAGAGTTCAATCCGAGCTAGAGTTGTCTAATCACGAGAGTGGAAAAAGTTCTCACAATATAGCATTGTCTAACCCCAGTTTTCGGTGTTGCTATACATTTTTTTTTTCAAAAAGCAAAACAAAATTATAAAACTGAACTGGTTGGTTTTAATATACGAAACGACCGAACTGAAATTCTGAATCACAAATTAAAAGAAATGAAGAAATTTTTAAATACACATTTTTAGGTGCCAATCTCACGGCACCATCTTTTGTTTTGAATAGTTTTGTTTTGTTTTTCTATAAGTTTTATAATCATTTATTAAAAAAAAACTATAATGAAAATATCTAAATTTTTTAATTTGTGAGAGTATCTTCAATGGTTCATGTTATATCTTATTGCAAATGGCAAAAATATAGCAATAGAATTGGGTTTCTCTCCAATGGTTCATGCTATATTTTTGTTTTCAAATTATTATTAATTGCTAAAACTACATAAGTTATTTAAATTTTACAAACTGAATCATCTATTTTTTCTTGCAAATACATCCACAATTATATTATTTTTAAGTTTATTATGGTTATGTTATTCAATTTTCTATTAAATAAATATTATTTATACTTTAATAGTGGTATGAGTATTTTAATATATTTAAATAAATCAGAATCAAAATAATTAAACTGCTAAATTAAAATTATTTATAAGAATTGAATGACTACTTTATAAATAAATAAAAGTTCAATGGCAAAATATGATATTGCATAATCTCATGGCAAATTTGGGAGAAAAATAACATGAAACTATTTTGCAATTTTCATTTTCACGGGTTGGTTCATGATTAATGTGTGGTGACTTTAACGAGATGCTAACTCAGAAAATCAGAAAGAGAAAAGAGGAGGTATAATATAATCAGAAAACAATTTAAGAGAATTTAAGTCGATGTTAGAGGCGTGTGATATGGAAGACTTACGGTATAAAGGAAATCGTTTTAGTTGGGTTGGCAAAGAACGGATTAAAGTTGTTTAATGTTGTCTAGACCGTGTTCTAGCAAATGCTGAATGGCGTAACTCCACTGAGGTTAATTAATCGAAATGGGTATATGAACTTTATAACAATGAAAAATATTAAAAAAGTATAGGAGAAAGGTGAGAAGAAATTCTCATTTGAGATATTTTAAGAATTAAGATACATGAGAACTTCTTATCACATTTAGTTGAATTCTTTTCCAAATTCAAAATTTATTTATAAAATTGTATTACAGTAAGCTATTAAGTATTAACCTTGCAAGCCCATATCTTTAAATTATCTGATTCCCCCCTTTCCGAAGACAAAAAGATTGTTCCAATCAAATCTACACCAGGTAATAAATTTTTGCTCTTTCAAGTATTAGAGCTGTAGTTTTTATTTTCACCTTCTTTTTTACCGAGTCGTTACTTTCGAGATTTGACTTAAAAAAAGAAAAAAAAAACCCGTGGACAACAAGGCAAAATAAAGTTTCCAAAAAATCGGTGTGCATTAAGTAAGTGGTTAATTAGGATTTAGGACCCATTTGTCCACGCCAGAATTTTTAATCTTGGGCTTGAGCAGCACAATGCGGAGATTCTTGTTTAGCCAAGCTAAAAGCCTCGTCGACCATACTCGCCGTCGTCAACATCACACAAGCCATCGACGATTTCTCTCTCTTCTTCCATCTCGATCTCATCCTATTCCTGTTCCTGCTCCTCTTGTTTCTCTGTCTCATTTCTTGTCTTCTGCTTCGAAAACGGCTACTTCTCTGTCCATTTCTCTCCCCGTTACTCTTGAATCAGTCAATCCCAAGGTTGGTTGCAAAAAAACATTTGTCGGTTCGCTGGTTGAATTGTGGGTTTATGTGTGTTTGATTTGGATGTTTTATTTTTTTATTTTTTATTTTTGCAATTGTCAGTGTGATTTTTGTTTCAAAGCCAAAGACCAAAGATTTTGCACTGTGTTTCTCTTTATTATTTTTTGCTTAATATCTCGTTTCTCTGTTCATAATTATTGGGGTTGCGGAATCTTGTTAGATTTGTGTCTGCGTGTGCTTAGGTTAAATTTCTTTGCTAGAAATTATATAACATTTTCACTTCCCCTATGTCATTTCTATTCTTATGAGTCACTTTTCAATCAAACTTTAAATTTGGTTTTATTGTAACAAGAGGGGTTTTGTTATTTTTTCGGTGGTAGGTTCTGAAATGTGAATATACTGTTGGTGGAGACATTATCAGCATTGCTCAGGTTAGACTAGAGATACATGTGCTTTTCTCTAGTGAAATCACGAACAATCTCTTTAAACTTGTTAAATAGCTATTTGATATATATATATATATATATATATATATATATATTTTTTTTTTTTTTTTTTGTGTGCCTTTTGCTTCCATCTTGCAAGAGGTGCAAGAAGACTGAGAGTCTAATTGGCATGATCATATGTATATTCAAATTAATTTGACATATATCTCTCTCTTGTATAACGTTTATAATCTTGAAAATGAATGTGCAGTCTCTTAACAACTTAGAAGGCGTAACATGTAACAGAGCCGAAGGAGCAGAGACCGCAAAGACACCACCAGGTGCGTTTCACTGCAAAAGCCTTCTTAACGCCACTGGAATACTTGTAGTCCCTGGTTCTCGCTTCGGACAGGTAAAATAAAAACCAAATTCTTAATTCACAAATGAAAAAACATTTCATGTTTTCAAGAATAAAGTTGAAGAATGTGTGTTTTCCATTCACTATGGTTTAGGTTCCCGGAACATGGCACCAAATGAGATGCACAATACTTTCCCAAGAAGACAGGATTCCGGCGACGGTGAATCGTCCCAGAGAGTTCCACAAGAGTGGTAGTACCATCAACCATTTCCCAAAAAGAAGCAAATTTCCAAAACAACACCGAGGAAGAGTAAACGGAGTATCTTGTCAAGGGAATCGTGTTTCTTTTGGAAGATACGCTCTTCAAACACTTGAACCATCTTGGATCACAGCTAGACAGATAGAAGCGGGGAGGCTAGCAATGACAAGAAACGTACCACGTGGGGGGAAGATTTGGGTGCGTATGTTTGCAGACAAATCAGTTACCGTAAGACCCACGGAAGTGCGTATGGGTGGTGGGAAAGGAGCGGCGGAGATTTGGGTTGCTGTGGTTAAACCGGGTAAGATTCTATATGAATTGGGTGGTGTTCCTGAAAATATAGCCAGGAAAGCTATTTCAGTAGTGGCATCGAAAATGCCTACAAAAACCAAATTCGTTATTTCTTCTAAATAAGAACATAGAATGAATTTTTTTTTTGTAATTCGTCAAGGTTTGTGAAAGGAATCACATACTATTCTGATTTACTCTTTACTTTGGATTATCTCAAAATACATTTTGTTAAGTTTATATGTTTAAGTGTATCTGTTTTATTTTTGTTTCTTGTCCAGTGCAGCCATGGTGATGCATGGTTTGGTTTGTTGTGAACATCTTCTCCTCTAATGGACACTAAAGTTTTATCTATAAAATTAAGGTTTGGCCAAAAAACGAAGCTATTGCTATTTCAATTGGGTTTATAGTTAGTTTGTACTTGCAAACGTTTGGTCCTGATACACATTTAAGTGTGTGATGAGACATTTTAAATCTCCGTCTTGTTGATTATTGACTCGAAAACTCTTACCAAACTCATTGTTAATTTGTTTGACAAAATCGAACATATTTTGGTATACACTATTTGGGCTAATTATACCTAACAACAAAGCACATTGTATGAAATGGGAGTATATAAAAATGATGCGAACACATGATATTAGTTTGAATTGTAAATACTAACTATTGTGATCCTCATATTTTCATTATTTTGTTGGTGTTTATCTTTTTCTTTTATGGTGTTTTTGTTATATGTGAAGTCATAGCTAGTCTTATTATTGCATTAGAGGATTCCTAAAGTGTATTTGTTTTGCTGTTGTATAGAGCTTGAGAGTGGCTAGTTTGTATCAAGAGGATGCATGTAGCTAGCTTGAATAATGATGAGGATACACTTTTGGATGCAAACAAGTAAAATGGCCAAAAAGTCGGTAAAAATACAAAAAAAAAAAAACTAAAGCCGAAACGACGGCGTACAGACTCAATCTCTCCTCCGTCAAATTCTCCACATTTTTTTCATGTGTCGTCGTGTAAACTGAATTGAATTCAAAATGTGTGACGGCTTCTGATCCATTTTCACCAGAGAAGGATGATTCTCCTGATTCGATCTTCTGCGAAAATCACTTCAGATTCCTGGGATCCCCAGAATTTCAATGGTTGCTGATCTGTAAGCATAATTCTGATCCAGTGGCAGAGAAAGAGCGTGAAGATCGTGCTCTCGCGTGGTTCTTGCAATCGGCGAAGAAGAGCCACCGACTTCGACTTCAGCTCCTTCCGATTCACCATGGTAAATTTCCGTAAATCGAAAACGCGATTGACTTGATTCGGAATTTGACCAATTCTGTGAAAACGCGATTGCAACAAAACTGAATTCTGAACTAATCTCCATCTCTGAAAGTCGATTCCAATGTTCTAGAGTCTTAATCTGATATTTGAGTTTCTTTGCACTGAACATTCATGTAGAAAAAAGGTTGCGAGATCAGATTATTTGTCAATTTTGAAATCTATTCAAAATTTTCTATGGTGTTGGTGAAATTGGGTTCTTTGGCTCTCTCTATGTGTGCGAAATGGCATGTTCAGTCTTTGTTTCTCTTCATGATTGATTGTCAAGAAATTCCGAAACTTGTGATTTGAGAAGATCTCTTTTGGTTTCACTTCAGGGATTTCGTTTGCTATTGTGGCAAGCAATAGCTGGTGGTTTATACATGGGTGAAAGTGGATTTAGAGTGGATCCTTCTTCTTCTTATGCCAATGCTTTAAAGTACCATGAGCAACGTCGTCTAACAAGTGATGACCATTTCTTTTTATCTGTTTATCTAAGAAAGATTGTAACTTTTGTTTATCCTTAGATTTATGTTCAAAGATTTGGAACTTGTCGAGCTGATTTGTTTCGTATTCTCGTATAACCTATCGCCAGATTATATGGTTGCTAAAACCGCAAGGGAAAAAAGACGGAAAATTGTAGCTGATAAAAAAGCAAAACGATGTAAAGCTTCTGTATCTATTGTTGTCTCCTCCATTAAAGGTAAAAAAAAAATAACTTTGAGCTCTACTTCAACGTCTGAATTTGAGATGAATTATCTATATATGTTTGTAGCATCATATACCTTTTGCCACTATGGTTACTCGAATACTCTCTAATTTGTATATGCCAGATCCTATGGTTAGTCAAATAGCAAGAGAAAGAAGACGACAAATTATAGCAGCGAAAAGAGCAGTGCGATCTACTTCTTCTAATGAAGTCTTGTCCAATGATAGCGGTAAGAAAATTTGTTCTCTACTCTGTCATCCCGATGTGAAATGTAATCACTAATCACTTTATGCAGTGTTTACTTGTGTGAAGCATGTATATATATACTTGTACTTCAGTAACAAGTGAAAACATATGTATATCAGTATGTGTATACTTCAATACTATTACTATTCTCATGATTAATTTTTCTGTAACAACTAGTTCAAAGTAGCCAACGAACAACAACCAAAGAGGACAAACATTCAAGGTCGAGCGATAGGAAACCACAACATGGTAAGATCATACAGTATTGGATGTGAACGGCAATCAAATTGCTCACTGTTATCTTCTTCATGGGGTTTCGTAAAGAAGTACTTATGCCCACCAGTTTTTGTTTACAGAAACAAGTGAAGCATCGAGACAGAAACCACGAGTAGATAATTCTCCTACGAATGGGAAAAAGAAATGACTTGTGAATACATTTATTAGGTACTATCATTTGCAATGGCTTTTACTTTTGATATATATTGAGAATCTCAATGACTTATACTTCGGGAGAAATGTACTCTGTTTGTGTTTCTTTTTCTTGTTCTGATTTGAATATTAGAAAGTTTGAAATGCTTTAGACTATTTACAGAATTCGAGCAGATTAAAAACCATTTGTAGACAATAAAATTTGGATGTTGGTTATCTGATTTGAAGTTATTTCTTTTGGTTTCTTTGATGTTTTAGTTGTTGATATACAAAGAAAAGAAGAAGTGCTGCAACAATGGAGACAACAATGTAGAGATATATGACCAATGGAATCGTCCAACATCTTCGTTCTTTTGTGGAGATTTTTGGGCTGACTCGTTCAGTAAACTCACAAGCTCAGGTTGGTGGTACTGTGAAGATGCAAATCAGTGTCTTCTCAGGTGAGTCGTTGATGAAAGTTTCATACTACCAAATACTATCTGTTAAGTTGAGAAGATCTATTACTGTTTTTTCTTATATAATTGTCTTATGCATTTTTAAGTTTTGATCTCCTTGTTATGAACAACTGACTCAAGAATCACGCCTCTTTTTTGGTGTACAGAGTTTGAAATCAGTCTTTATTTTGTATTTTCTGTAGTTCGCAGTATGTAGCAGCCAGCGATTTTGGAAAGAAGTTTCTGCATTGGATACAACAGATTACAAAGTACATGTAAGCTCAAAGCATTTCTTGATAGTAGTTTTAAAGTGCAACATTCTTTTAGGTAAATTAGTTTAGAGATCTCTAGTCCTGTATCTATAACTCTTTAAAGTTGCAGATGTTAACACCTCAAATAGTTTGTTATGAGAAGAAAATGTTTTTTTTTGACTTCGTTATGAGGCAAAATTTAATTTTTCTTTATCAACTTCAAGAAATTAATGTTCTTTTTTGGTCGTTTCTGTTTGGTTTGGTTTGGTTTTCGTTGCATAGAAAAATGTCGTATTGTGTGCGAAAAGGTTCTTGTTACTTGCCGTTGACCTAATAGAGTGGGATACGATTAACGATTTAGTCAAAACACTCCTGGTTGACATGACGTTTGACTTTGAATATTAGCATATGCGTTGGTGGAAAGTAGGAACACAATGCAATATAAAAAACCAAGATTTACAATCGTCAAGAAAATAATTCGAGCCTATAAATTCCAATATTCATCGACCCTATAATAATTAAAAAAAGGACTAAACATCATCTTAATCCACACTAATACACAATGGCTTCTTCACTTTCACTTGTGCTTGGATACGTGGTCGTGTTAACATTTTTCATACTCCTCAACTCCGAAGAAACATTATCATCGCGGCTAGTGAGAACCACGGCTAAAGTAGCTCAGATTGGAGCCGATGATTATCCATCTTCCGGTCGTAATTCACCTGTCCGTGACCTCGGATTCCCTGACTTTCCATCTTTCCAAGAAGCAGTAGCAGCTCCACCGCCGCCTCCTCCTGATATGCCTCTGCTTCCACCACCGCCGACATTTCCCGACCTTGAAAGCCCTAGGATTCCGGTGCCGGTTTGGCCTTCTCAGCCCGGTTTCCTGCCCTTTCCGTTCACAGATCAGGCCCCTCCTTCCGAACCCTTTGGTCCAAGATTCGACGAGTCCGACAATTGGCTGCCTTCTACCCCAAGTATCCTTCAAGGGTTTCCTTGAACACATGAGACTCGTTAAAACCTCACTTTTCAAATATAGAACTTGAGAGTTAACATCTGAATTTCAAAGTTTTTGTATCAACTAATTAATTTGGAAACTACTTATGTATGATTTCAAGCAAGTTATAAAACCAAGTTACAAATTGAGTCTCTTTCAAATTTTATAGTTGGAAATATATGACTCTTGAGTAAATTAATATGAGATGTCAAAAAAAAAGAAGTAAATTAATATGAATGGTTGCATGTCAATTTATTTCTTTGCGACTAAGAGGAAAAAAACTTAGTAGTTTCGTCTTCCGTAATGAAACTGATCTCGTAAGTTGTTGTATGGATCGGTATATTAATTCATTCATAAGACCATACAGCATCTTCCTCAATTATTTAGTTTGTATTACACATTGAGTTTGTTCAAGGAGATGAAGGAGCAAATCTCGACATCTCGATACTTTGTTGGTCATGAGTTAATCACATATAAAAGACTGTGGAAGATGCAAAATCATTTACTCATCCACGGATGTATATAAAACTAACTTAGAGCTTCTAGCCATGACCCTCATAATTTAGCAAAATCATTTACTCATCCACGGATGTATTTTTGCTCGGAGGAGCTTGTTTCAAGTCCAAGTAAACTATAATCTAGATTTCCTTATCAACACACATCCATGTGTCCATGTTATCACCCTTACACAAATTATCCTATCTGCAGGCCATTGAAGCTATATAGTGAACCAAACCGTAATATCACTTAGTACAGAAAACTCAAGAACCTGGTGGCTTCATATGAATTAAAAGATCATTTCACATCATCAAGCTATCCAAGATTTCACTAAAGAGAAACTAATTACTCTGAGTAAATTTGATGTAAAATCTCAAGAGTAGACGACAAAGACTACCTTTTAAATAGTTCTTAAATCTTCGATCTCAATATTTTTAGTTTTACCCAAATCTTTTGCCCCTTTACATTTCTCATTATACAATAACCTAAGAAACCATTTATGTATAGGAGAAATGAGAAACCTATTACATGGTACAAAGTTTCACAAAATAATGAAATATGAAACTCGAGTCTCAATATATTGAAAGAATTAGAAAACTTGAGTTTCATGTACAAAAAAGAGATATTGCATAGTGATACTCTGAAACAGAAGACACCGAGTTAGAGAAGAACCAGCTTGAGAAATGTGCAAAATTTGTGAGAACCATTACAGGAAAACTGAGAGATCAAGAAGGAAACAACAAACTCATGCTCAATCAATCTCCGTGTTGCTCAAAGGAAGTTCTTGGAACATGTTCAAAATTTCTTGATATTGATTCATTATCTTTTAATTACTTACACCATCACAATTTTCTTTCCATTTGCCACCAATCTACCACTTTAGTTCCCGTTTTGAACAATTGTTTTATTATGTTGAGTTGTACTTTTGGCATTTCTTGTTACAAAATATCAATATTCTCAAGGCGTAAAGAAAATTCGCCGAAAGTGAATGAGACAAGGATTGTTAAGTTGTGAAGGTACATGTTGTTGACCCTTAGCCGTAAAAATAGTCATATCACCTCCTTAATTATCCTTACAAAAAACCTTATATTTTCAACATGTTCCAATGGGATTTAAACATCATGTTCATTACCAACAATTCTTCCAAAGCCAAAACATGACCTAAACTAGCTTCGAGCTTAACTCTTTTGATGTTGTTTGTTCCCAATTAGTTGTAAAAAATGTAGAAAAGGGTTCTGTCCAAGTTCGCGTGACAAGTATCTTGGGGCGAAAACTGAAAAATATATGTTTTCTTGGCAAGATAATTTCTTTTCGAATGACTTTTTTTTTTTTAATTGTAAACAAAATTTGATTACTGACGAAAACTTTTACTTAATAAACATCTTATCAGTCATTTCCACAAATTTGCATAATGATTTTTTTTTTTTTTTTGTAAATTCATAAACTAATAATGTTGTATTAAATACAACATCGAAAAAATGCAAAAGCTAATTTCAGACACAAATTAATATCTTGATAATGTATATAGAGACTACACTTATTAGATGATGAATCTGGATGAAAACAAACATGGCCATAGTGTGTGCGAAAAGGTTTTTTCCTTACCGTTGACCTAATAGGGTTGGGATACGATTGATCTTAGTAAAAAATACTCCTAATTGACATGACGTTTGACTTTGAATATTAGCATATGCTTTGGTAGAAAGTAGGAACACAATGCAAAATACAAAAGCAAAGATTTTACAGTCGTCAACAAATCAATTCAAATCTATAAAGGTCAATCTTCATCTACCCTGTAGTTACAGAAAAAAAGGATCAAACATCATCTTAATCCACTAATACACAATGTCTTCACTTTCATTTGTTCTTAGATACGTCTTCGTGTTAACACTTTTCATACTCTTAGACTCCGAGAAAATATTTTCATCGCGAGTAGTGATGAGATCCACAGTTAAAGTAGCTCAGGTTGGAGCCGATGATTATCCAGCTTCCGGTCATAATTCACCACTCCGCCACCTCGGATTCCCTGACTTTCCGTCTTTCCAAGAAGCAGTAGCAGCGCCGCCGCCTCCTCCGCTTGATATGCCTCTGTTTCCACCGCCGCCAACATTTCCCAATCTTGAAAGCCCTAGGATTCCGGTACCGGATTGGCCTTCCCTCCCCGGTTTCCTGCCATTTCCGTCCAAAGATCAGGTCCCTCCTTCGGAACCCTTTGGTCCAAGATTTGACGAGTCCGACAATTGGCTGCCTTCTACTCCAAGTAACCCCCAAGGGTTTCCATAAGCACATGAGACTCGTTGAAACCTCACTTCTCAAAAACTAAACTTGAGAGTAAACATCTGAATTTCAAAGTTTTTGTATCAACTAATAATTTGAAAAGTTATGTATGATTTCAAGCAAGTAATAAAACAACTTTTATAGTTGGAAAATATTTGACTCTATAATTTGAATCGTTGGCTCTCACAAGATAAGATGATAAATTGCCAAACCGAGAGAGATCTTCCACATTTGTTCATTGTAACTAGTAATTCTTGACATACTGAACCAGATAAAAAAAAATATCTGTCGAGAAATAAAAACACAAAAAAAACAAAAAAAAAGTTCCTCCATCATTCATGCTCTTAAACTAAGATCAACCCTAATTATAAAAAGGTAAAATTTCCACCAGATTCCGGTGAGATATAGACATGGCAATCACCATGGTTTCCAATTCCATAACAACGCCTAAAACCTTCATCATCACCAACTCCTTGAAGCTGAACCTTTCTAATTTGATGGCTTTCTACATTGTAATAGAGAATGTAAAAAGGTCGAAGCTCACGTGGCAAAAACTTTGGGGCAATAATAATTTCGCCGATCTTGTTGGTGCCTTGACAAGAAATTGCTACTTTTCCTAAAGAATCATCCAACGCAAACGAACATGATCTCATCGACCACCGATGTTCCTTGGCATCTTGTAGTACCCATAAAACAAAGTCATAATGTCTATCTTCATAGGAGCGGGCATTAGTATTATTTATATGAGCTAACTTTCCGTTGTAGTTTATTAAACTTGAAGTAAAGCCCCAATGTACGTGCTTAGCTGGAGCTGGTAGGTTGATAAAACTTAGCCTCTCTGATCTAACATCAAAACGCACAATCACTTTATCCGTATGACATGGTGTTGGAGTCATTGCGCCATAATACACAAACCCATCGATGCAGATTCCTTTTGTTATAGGGACATATTTCCGGCAAGTTCCTTCAATATGTCTCCATGTAGGTTCTTGATCACCACCTCCAAGTGTTAAGACCATGTGCTCTTGAACGTCTTCAGAAGTTGGCAACACCTTACACATTGCTTTGTATTGATCGTTAACCGGATCGTACCCCAAGTATTTATAACCGGACTTCAAATCATTACCCGGGATTTCGGGTAAGGTTATGATTTGTCTTGTGCTAGGGTTACATATCATGACCCTGCGTTTATGCGAAACGCAGATAAAACCATTGACGGAAGCAGAACGTGTGTAGCAATAAGCGTCCATGGAAGCCATTGTCATGTTGAGGTTTGCTACCAAAGAAGAAGATTCATCTTCCTGATCTTGTGAAGAGGTAAAGTAGAACAAAAGGTTTTCAGCATTCTTGTTTGTTAACCTACCGTTTCTGAAATATATTAGAAGTCGTGATGATGGCTCCGAGGACATAGAGACGCAAGAATTGATGAAACCTTTGCTTCGGATTATTGAACCCCATGACTTGGAAACATATTGGAATTTTAGAAGAGATTTTACGGGCAATCTTCTTAGAATCTCCAACACAAGATCATGTGGGATCGGATCTATGTGACTTAGGTCGTTGTCAGAATCGTTTTGGTTGTGTTCGTGCTCTTTGCCGTTCATGTCCGATGAGGAGTTGAGCATAAAGTTCGACATAGGTTTTTTTTTTTTCAGTTCTGTGTTTTCTAGTCTAACGTATCTACCTATTTGTATATATAATAAATTATAAATATCAAACCATTCAGAAATAGGAAAGTAATTAAGTCGTTTCAAGAAAACAAATAGTTTTCCTGGTTTAATTTCCTTTTCCCAACAAAAGTTCTTATAGATTTTGTCTTCTGTATATTTATGTTTTTTCGTTTTAGGCACATAATAATTTACGATTTTGTCTCGTTAATTGTGAGTCTCACGTTGTCTTCGACCAAAATCCAGAACATTACACAAAGCTATTGGGTTTGTTCACATGGGCCAGATGGGCCATTTACAAGTTTATAGAGTGCAAGAGTAAAGAGACGTTGGCTAAGATGTCATGACGTTCATATAGCTTGTTCTAGGGTTTTATGTGGTTTCTCTCTTAGCACAAAACCTGTAACATAGTAGAACAAGTTAGCTTGGTAGTGTTGTAAGCTTTGTACCCTTTGATCTAGTGGAAGTTGAGGAACAAGAGCCTAATCAATGTCTTCCATGGAGAAGAAGAAGAAGAAGAGGAAGAGGAAGACAGGTACAACCACTGCTCCGTTGCTTCCCGATGATTTGCTATTGAGCTGCTTCGCACGTGTTTCTAGATTGTACTATCCGACTTTCTCCCTTGTTTCCAAGCGTTTTCGATCTCTTATTGCTTCACCTGAGCTTTACAAGGCTAGATCACTCTTGGGTAATACCGAAAAATTTCTCTACCTGTGCTTAAGGTCACATCCGCCTTCTCTCTTGTACAACCTCTGCCTGAAACCTAGCCAAACCCTAATCAATGAGAAGGGGAAGTCAAGTGTTTCTGTTTTGGCTACGGTCCCAATTCCAAGTTCTCCTAGTGCGCACTTTCAGGGTCTCGTAGCTGTTGGTTGTAATATCTACAACATTAAAGAGACCCCCTGCATGGAAGAAGAAAACAAAGAAGAGCTCTCCTCTAACGTCTCTATTCTAGATTGCCGGACTCACACTTGGCGAGAGGCTCCAAGCTTGCCTGTGAAGCTATTGACACTTTCTGCTAGCGTTCTTGATACAAAGATATACGTGTCAGGAATAGGCTACAAAGACGGCGATTCTTGGGGTTTCTTGAAGAACACGTTTGAGGTTTTCGACACAAAAACACAGATTTGGGATCCTGAGACCATCCCTTGCAGCGAGACAAAATGCAGTTTTTTTAACTCGAAAAGTGCATGGATTGACGGAAAGTTTCACGTGATGGCTAACAAGGTGGTTGCTTACAATTCCAAGGAAGTTAGATGGGACATGGTTGGACAAGAGATGGGTAAATATATGAATTCAGATACTTATTGCGTGATAGAGAATGTTTTGTACTCTGCTTCTAAAGGAGTATTGAGATGGTATGACTCTGAGGTAAGCAGGTGGAAATATTTGAAGGGAGAACTACGTAAGCTCTCTCTTGGCGATTGTGTTAGATTGGCTGATTATGGTGGAAAGCTGGCGGTTTTGTGGGAAGAAGATCTTGTTGGCGATAAGAAGATCTTGTGTGCGGAGATTGCTCTTGAAAGACGGAAAATAGAACGTGAGATTTTCGGAAAAGTTGAGTGGTTTAGTGATGTGCTTACAGTCCCTAATTCATGTAGTATCGTCAAGGTTCTTGCTGTTACTCTTTGATAAATGACTCTCATCTCTTGTTTCACTTATATTACTGAAGTAACTCATATGGAATTTATATTGGATAACGATTTTGTCTTACAAGTGTTGTTGTTGGTCATGTTTTGAAAACAAAAAAGGCACAAAAAGTAACAAGTCTTTTCCTAAAGACAAATCTCAAACCACACATCTCGATGAGGTTTGAATCCGACTGCCTGGAGCTTGTCAGATTGATAGCGGACGAAGAAGAATAGCCTTCATTGGCCTCTGAGTTGGAAGAGTTTATCACATTATGCCTACTTTCCTCTCTTTCACTTTAGTTTTTATTCCACGTATTTTAAATGTCCGTGACCTCCTCTCGAAGGAAGCTCGTGCCCGAGATTATATCTTTTCTCATGTAACCAACGCGAGTGCGAGCAGGCTGCCTTCCGAAACAAGCTTGCATGGCACGTTACATTAATAAAATGGAGGATCAATGTCAAAAAAAAAACACTACGAAAACTTTAGGGTTTAGGGCCATAATCATCTAACTAGTCTTCTCATCTCCGTTGTCGATATATCAAATTATATGTTTCGGTCGGTTCAACAAAACAGATTTTCTTTTTTCGAGAAAGAACAAAACAAAAATTCTTTGAAACATCGAATGCAATTTTTTTAATGAAATAGGAGAGTAATTAATTCCTTTCAATGAAAAAAAATAATCCTGATTTCCTTTTCCTAACAAAATCTTATTGGGAAAAGGAAACCAGTATTTTTCTATCCATTTCCTATTTAGCTGTTCCTTTTATTTCATTTATATATCATTATATATGTTTGTTGTTTTAAGCACATATAATAATTGGCAATTTTCTCTCGTCAATTAATAAATCAATGTCGTCGTCCCTGGAGAAGAAGAAGAAGAGGAAAAAGAAGAGGAAGGGGAAGAGGAAGACAAGTACAGCTACGACGAAGAAGCTGTCACCGTCGTCGCCACAATCAACCACAACTCCGTTGCTTCCCGATGATTTGCTATTGAGCTGCTTCGCACGTGTTTCTAGATTGTACTATCCGACTTTCTCCCTTGTCTCCAAGCGTTTTCGATCTCTTATTGCTTCACCGGAGCTTTACAAGGCTCGATCACTCTTGGGGAATACCTAAAATTGTCTCTACCTGTGCTTAGGGTCACATCCGTGTTCTCTCTGGTACACCCTCTGCCTGAAACCTAACCAAACCCTAACCAATGAGAAGAAGAAGTCAAGTGTTTATGTTTTGGCTACAGTCCCAGTTCCAAGTTCTCCTCGTTCGCACTTTCCGGGTCTTGTGGCGGTTGGTTGTAATATCTACAACATTAAAAAGAGCTCCTACTTGGAAGAAAAAAAAGAAGAGCTCTCCTCTAACGTCTCGGTTCTAGATTGCCGGACTCACACTTGGCGTGAGGCTCCAAGCTTGCCGATGAAGCTATTGACACTTTCTGCTAGCGTTCTTGATGAGAAGATACACGTGGCAGGATGCTACAAAGACGGCGGTTCTTGGAATTACTTGAAGAACACGTTTCATGTTTTCGACACAAAAACACAGATTTGGGATTCTGAGACCATCCCTTGCAGCGAGACAAAATGCAGTTTTTTTAACTCGAGAAGTGCATGTATTGACGGAAAGTTTCACGTAAAGACTAACAAGGTGGTTGCTTACAATTCCAAGGAAGCTAGATGGGACTTGGTTGGACAAGAGATGGGTGAATATATGACCTCAGATTTCTGTTGCGTGATAGAGAATATTTTGTACTCTGCTTCTCACGGAGTATTGAGATGGTATGACTCTGAAGTAAGCATGTGGAAACAGTTGCAGGGAGGACTACGTAACTTCTCTCGTGACGCTTGTATTAGATTGGCTGATTATGGTGGAAAGTTGGCGGTTTTGTGGGAACAAGAACTGTTTGGTGATAAGAAGATTTGGTTTGCGGAGATTTCTCTTGAAATACATAAAATAGAACGTGAGATTTGGGGAGAAGTTGAGTGGTTTAGTGATGTGCTTACAGTCCCTAAGTCATGTAGTATCGTCAAGGTTCTTGCTGTTACTCTTTGATGAATGACTCTCATCTCTTGTTTCACTTATATTTACCAAGCAAGATTAAGTAACTCATATGGAATTTATATTGGATAACGATTTTGTCTTACAAGTGTTGTTGTTGGTCATGTTTTGAAAACAAAAAAGGCACAAAAAGTAACAAGTCTTTTCCTAAAGACAAATCTCAAACCACACACCTCGATGAGGTTTGAATCCGACTGCCTGGAGCTTGTCAGATTGATAGCGGACGAAGAAGAATAGCCTTCATTGGCCTCTGAGTTGGAAGAGTTTATCACATTACGCCTACTTTCCTCTCTTTCACTTTAGTCTTCTCATCTCCGTTGTCGATATATCAAATTATATGTTTCGGTCGGTTCAACAAAACAGATTTTCTTTTTCCGAGAAAAAACAAAACAAAAGTTCTTTGAAACATCGAATGCAATTTTATAACTTGAAAGTATTTGACTCTGCCTAAACTGGCTTTGATGAGTGAAACGGCACATGAGTTATGCGTTTTGAGAGTTGGTAGGGAATAGATATTGGCCATATCGATATCTCATGAACTGAGTTGTGTATATCGATATTGGAACAGAACTCAATTCATGAGATATCGAACTAGTTTGTTTGGTTTTGTGTCTAAAAAGTAAAGAGTGAAACCAACATTTATTGAGCAACAAAAACAATCAAAGTTCCTCATCATGCTTAATTGCTTGTACAAAAGAATTGATCCTTGAATGAGGAAGAAAAAAATTAAAGTACACTAGGGATTAAAGCCCCGCGCAAGCGCGGGTTGTTTGCGATAATTTTTCTGTTTGATTTTATTTATATTCATTGATTTGAAATTTTGAATTATGATGGTTATATGTTAACTTCCATGTTTTGGTTATATTTTGAGTTAACCCAACAATTAACACTAACAATATGATCAATTTTTTTTATTAAGATATTAACACCTTATTCGAGTTTTCTATTTCTAAAATTTAATATGCATTTGACTCAACGTTAAAATTTGTAAACATGGTGTAGAATCGCAATTGCACTCAAAATATGATGAAAAACAAAAACATGTATAACTTCTTACATATATGCTTTGTTGTGGTAGCATATGACAATTGATTATTTTCTATTATGTTAGTTTTGTAAATATAAATTGTATTTTTGAAACAAACATGTCACCATTCTTAAAATTTTCATACTTTTCGTTGCAATGAAATTTAAATAATAACTCGACTTCTATTTTTTAATAAAACAAACTCTAACTCTAATTTTTTATTAGCTTTTTACTATGTTAAATAATTTATATTGTACCTTTTTTACTTGTAAGCACATTATAACATTTTTAAATAGGATAAATCCTTTGAGTTAAAACCTAACTATATACTATTTCAAGTTAAATATTTCTTTATTTCATCTCCATTTTATATTACAACTTTCTTTTAACTTTTAACATCAAGATATCACATACTTTATATTAATCAATTAAATTGTTTGTGTATTTTTCTTAGTTTTGTTTATGTGTAAAATAGGAATATATATAAAGAAATATTAATACACATATATTAAATATCTTAAATACAATTAATGATTTTTTTGCTGATGTGGATAGCCTAGGAGGAGAGAGCAACTCTCCTATTATATATAAGATTATAGAAACGTAAAATTTGTAACATGTTCCGGTGAGATACATAAGTCGCAATTACCATTTCTCCCAATTCCATAACGACGCCTGAAATCTCCATCATCTGCAACTCCTTCAAGTTTAACCTTTCTTAAACTATTGCTTCCAACATTGTAGTAGAGCATGTAAACAGGTCCAAGGTCACGTGGCAAAAACTTTGGGGCAATAATAATTTCGCCGATCTTGTTGGTGCCTTGAAAAGAAATTGCTACTTTTCCTAAAGAATCATCCAACGCAAACGAACATGATCTCATCGACCACCGATGTTCCTTGGCATCTTGTAGTACCCATAAAACAAAGTCATAATGTCTATCTTCATAGGAGCGGGCATTAGTATTATTTATATGAGCTAACTTTCCGTTGTAGTTTATTAAACTTGAAGTAAAGCCCCAATGTACGTGCTTAGCTGGAGCTGGTAGGTTGATAAAACTTAGCCTCTCTGATCTAACATCAAAACGCACAATCACTTTATCCGTATGACATGGTGTTGGAGTCATTCGCCATAATACACAAACCCATCGATGCAGATTCCTTTTGTTAAAGGGACATGTTTCCGGCAAGTTCCTTCAGTATGTCTCCATGAAGGTTCTTGATCACCTGCAAGTGATTAATTCGTTTCAATGATAAAAAAAATAATCCTGATTTCCTTTTCCCTTATAGATTTTGTTGGGAAAAGTAAACCAAGATTTTTCTAGAAGTTTCCTAATTTAGCTGTTCCTTTTATTTAATTTATATGTTTGTTGTTATAAGCACATAATAATTGGCAATTTTGTCTAATTTATTAATAAAAAAATCAATGTCGTCCATGGAGAAGAAGAAGAAGAGGAAGAGGAAGACAAGTACAGCTACGACGAACACGCTGTCCCCGTCGTCGCCACAATCAACCACAGCTCCGTTGCTTCCCGATGATTTGCTAGTGAGCTGCTTCGCACGAGTTTCTAGATTGTACTATCCAACTTTCTCCCTTGTCTCCAAGCGTTTTCGATCTCTTCTTGCTTCACCTGAGCTTTACAAGGCTCGATCACTCTTGGGGAATACCGAAAATTATCTCTACTTGTGCTTAGGGTCACATCCGCGTTCTCTCTGGTACAGCCTCTTCCTGAAACCTAACCAAACCCTAAGCAATGAGAAGGGGAAGTCAAGTGTTTCTTTTTTGGTTACGGTCCCAATTCCAAGTTCTCCTAGTGCGCGCTTTCAGGGTCTCGTGGCCGTTGGTTGTAATATCTACAACATTAAAGAGACCCCTTACATGGAAGAAAACAAAGAAGAGCTCTCCTCTAACGTCTCCGTTCTAGATTGCTTGACTCACACTTGGCGAGAGGCTCCAAGATTGCCGGTGAAGCTAATGACACTTTCTGCTAGCGTTCTTGATGCAAAGATATACGTGGCAGGAATAGGCTACAAAGACGGCGATTCTTGGGGTTACTTGAAGAACACGTTTGAGGTTTTCGACACAAGAACACATATTTGGGATCCTGAGACCATCCCTTGCAGCGAGACAATATGCAGTTTTAATAACTCGAGAAGTGTATCTATTGACGGAAAGGTTCACGTAAAGACTAACAATGTGGTTGCTTACAATTCCAAGGAAGTTAGATGGGACTTGGTTGGACAAGAGATGGGTGAATATATGACCTCAGATTTTTGTTGCGTGATAGAGAATGTTTTGTACTCTGCTTCTCACGGAGTATTGAGATGGTATGACTCTGAAGTAAGCAGGTGGAAACCGTTGAAGGGAGGACTACGTAAGTTCTCTCTTGGCGCTTGTGTTAGATTGGCTGATTATGGTGGAAAGTTGGCGGTTTTGTGGGAACAAGAACAAGAACTGTATGGTGATAAGAAGATTCGGTTTACAGAGATTGCGCTTGTAAGACGGAAAATAGAACGTGAGATTTGGGGAGAGGTTGAGTGGTTGAGTGATGTGCTTAGAGTCCCTAAATCATGTAGTATCGTCAAGGTTCTTGGTGTTACTCTTTGATGAATGACTCTCATCTCTTGTTTCACTTATATTTACCAATCAAGATTAAGTAACTCATATGGAATTAGATTGGATAACGATTTCGACTTACAAGTGTTGTTGTTGTTGATCATGTTTTGAAAACAAAAAAAAGGCACAAAAAGTAACAAGTCTTTTTCCTAAAGACAAATCTCAAACCACACACTCTTATTAAATTCTCCAAACTCAAAACTTCACTCAAAGATCCGTAGGAATGCTTTGTTCATGTCTAAAGAAGTTCTCAGGATCAAACTTAGCTTTAATCTTCACCAACCTCTCAAAGTTCCCCTTGAAGTACCTATACCCCCACTCTCTTGCATCACTCCCTTTACCATTCCTCCCCAAATCAAGATCTCTGTAGTTCACATACGCAGCTCTAGGGCTTTTCGACACGTACTGCTCCATGTAACTATACATTTCCCTCATCCACTCCATATGATTCGCCTCACTCGCTTTCCCATCTTGCCACAGAGTCAGCCACTGGATCTTGAACAACGTCCCGCTCCTATGCGGGAAAGGCGTCTCTGTCTCGGGGATTTTTGCCATCATTCCTCCGTAAGGATTCCATATAGTCAATGGTGAGTCCTCTTCAAGAAGCTTTTTCCATAGCCCTTCTAGTCCTTCTACCGGAATTGGCTCCTCCACATAGTCTGACTTGGCTTTGAAGTAATTCTTGAAAAGCGATTTCCCGTCGAGTAGAGCTTCCGATGGCGCCGTGCTCGGATAACCGGCAATATACATTACAGATTTGATCCAGCTCGTCTCCAAACAATCTTTCTTCGTTAGTCCAAGATGTGGGAAACTCCTCTGCATCACCTGTCAAATAAACAAAAAAAGGGTCAAGATTGTCATAATCAGAACTTACTTCCTTAATTTATTATAAAACCATACTTTCATAAATAACAATATAGACCCGTAATTTAAACAAAATTTGAATTTGACACCACTATAGCCACATTTTTAAATTTGACCCCGTTACCTGTAAAAGCCGGTTTGCGTCACCAAGAAATTGGCCTTGGTACGAAGTGGCGATAGTTCTCTCTTTGCTCTTTGGGGTTTTGCTCGCCGGCTGAATAATCACGCGGATAAAGAGATCTTCATCGAGCTTGTCGGCGACTTGTTGCCACTTGTGCAAAAGCCTAGTTCCGTCTTGCTCAAGCGTCCTCGTGACAGTGAACACCGTCACGACCTCCGGCACAGGAACGAGCTTGAGTTTCCAGGCAAGGATAACGCCGAAGCTTCCTCCGCCACCGCCGCGAATCGCCCAGAAAACGTCTTCTCCCATCGCCGCGCGGTTCAGGATTTTGCCGTTGGCGTCGACGATTCTGGCGTCGAGAACGTTATCGGCTCCGAGCCCGAACTTACGCATCATGGAACCGTAGGCTCCGCCGATTATGTGGCCGCCGATGCCTAGGCTTGTGCATAAACCCGCCGGAAAACCGTGGATTTTGCTTTTTTCTTGGATCCTATAAACCAGGAAAGTAAATCGATTAATAACCGAGTCATTACCACAGCGAAAAAATAATAAACTAGCCAATTGATCCAAACCGGATTAAATCAGTGGGTTAACCGCATTTGATACGATACATTCGTATTGATCCTTTTTTTTCCCAAGCTACGTTTACTATAGTTAACTTTCCTGGTTTTTATTTTTATTTTCACTACGTTTAATATATATATTTTTTCCAAAACCGGAATAAAATTGTTAAACTCTTTTTTTTTTCTTTTAGTTTTAAACTTTTTACGTGAACACTCACGAGGTAATTTTTTCCATATTTTAAAAAAGGTTTTTTAACTTAATAAAAATAAAAAAATCAGGTGCCCGGAGAAACCAAGTTTTGTAGTTTCTACTATCATTATAGCTTCTTCCTTTTTCGATAAATAAAACTATAGCTTGTTAATATACAAATCAAACATTTTAAAAGCAGTGTCGACTATATTTTTAAAATCGTTTATTCGTTTTGAGGGGAAATATAGAAATAGCTATAAAGACGAAAATTCTTTGTTTTTTAAAAGTAGTTTATAACATATGATTCTTAGCGTTGGAGTAATTATTACCTGTAGTAAACCTCTCCAATAGAAGCACCAGCGTGAACCCACGCGGTGTTACTTTCCACATCAACGTCGATGTGTCTAAGCTTCGAGAAATCGACGATCACAAACGCCGAATCCATCTCGGAGACGTAGGAGAGGCCTTCATAGTCATGACCGCCGCTTCTCAACCTTAAGTGAAGCCGCAGCTTCTTGGCGCAAACAACGGCGGCTTGAACGTGCGTTTCGTAAAGCGGCTCGAAAATGAACTCCGGCTTGGGATTTGACGGCATCAAGTAACGGAGATTCTGAGCAGAAGTCTCTAATGCTACTTTGAAGGAAGAGGCGTTTAGGTCGTGGGTGAAGAACGATGAGTCCATCGGAAACGAAGCGTCGGAGTTGTCGACGAGACACATCACGAAGTCTTGTTGGATTGTGGAAGAAGACAATGGAATGGAAGAAAGAGATAGTAAAAGTAGCGTTACTAGAAACGCGTTGGCGTTTATTATCACCGTAAACGCCATTTTTGGTTTCTGTTTTAGTTATGAGGTTTTAAGTTTGCTTGAGGAGTTTCATATGTATGTGTTGGGGTTTATATAGAGAGGGACTCATGGTTTATACGTAAAGTTGATGTAATGATTGCGTCATGCTCTTTTGACTCTTGACCTTGTACGTACAGTATTAAACAATTCTTTACAATTTTGGAATAATTAGGGCTACTATTTAATTGCTGTTTAATTTAGACTTTAGAGCCTGTTAGGAGTTGTAGTTAATTTAACATTTCCAATTTTCCATCATGATTTTGCTAGTCCGGAGCGTTTATGCTGAAACGTATGTGATTTTCTAATTCGTAATTTCTACCGTGATCATATGTATACATCTAATAAGCAGAATAACTTCTTTCTCAAATCAAATGAAATCTGTTAATGTATAGTTTGTTTTTATTGCTAATTATATTGATTAGGACCCCGAGTTTATGGAGAAATAGATGGTGTTTAAAGTAGGTCATAATTTGTGGGTTTAAACTTTGTAGGGACAAAATTACTCATAATTTCAAAGATACTGACACCACCAACTCCAGTAATTGTGGCTCAAAAGTTACATCCATTTTCTTCAATTTATTCTTCAATCAAAATAATATAATATATCGCATCTTACTTTTTGACTCTCGAATTAGATATTTACTTTATAACAGATTTGGTTCATACATCTTACAACGTTGTGTTAAGTTCCATAATCCAATACATCATGCCAACCGTGCACTCTTTGATGTATGAGATGTTTACATTAACATATTTTCACTGTTCTTCTATGAGATGTTTTCTATCAAAGATACACCACCGTACATATGATTAATACTGAGTTAATATATATGAACTCTTTGTCGACTAATACGTGTTGTCGAATTTAATTTAAACGGTACAAATATTTTATAAAGTAGTGTTTTTTTTTTAACAACCAGCAATTCTCAAGAAAAATGTAAATTAATATCTATGGTCTGTAAGAAAATCAGATATTTTGTCATCTAATATGTTTACAGTGGCCAACTAGAGTTAATTAATTATCTAATAATAGAAGATTTGTAAATGGAATGACTAATTACCTAATCCATTAAAAAAAAAAAAAAAACTTTATCAGTCGAGTCGATATATATTATCGGACCACCGACTTAGCGGACGTTAGAGAACTAGAAAATGTTGTAAATTCTGTTAACAACAAAAAATTGCAATCCACGTTGCAGTTGAACGTTTATTTTTAACTACCCCTTAAGCTAAACATTTAAATACAAGTAGTTTTTTTTTTCACTAACTAAGTTAATAACGTTTATAATTCTGTAATGCTTGTTAAAATTAAGATGTAAAAATCCTTAAAAAATGGTTGATAATTATATCTAATGATTCTTTTTTATTTGTTAAAGAGTGCACCCACGGCCATATAATCCATCAATACTGTGAAACCATGAAGCCCTAAGCTTGACCATGCTTGTGAATGCGTAGCCACTTTAGAAGTCAACAAACTCAACCTATACATGAGCATATGTTTTTAAGTAGTGAGGCTCTATTTTTTCAACTCCCTTTCTTTTCTTTTTTGTAACTTATTTCAACTCCCTTTCACTTTAAGGAGATTCCCCAAAACTTCATATGTTTACATCATGTAGATTTTGGTTTTCCTTTTGTAGTTTCAAAAGAGACATGTGACTCAAATAGTTTTTTTTTGTTTCTTATAAAATATTAAAATGTGATGATATATATATATATATATATATATATATTTTTTTTTTTTTTTGCGAAGCTCCGGGTCACTACGTAGTATTTGTATAACTAGAGATTCATTGCACACTAAAAAATAAGAGATTCCTCATTATGCTTACTGGCGTCCAGCCGCCCAGTGTGAGAGTTGTAATGCTTTTGGTGTAAGGGTGTCACCTAAACAAATAGTAAGATAAGTGGTGATTGATAGTATTTGTGACCAGTTGAGTTTAAAAGCAACAAAATGGCATCAAAGACATCAATTGTCTAGATATTAATTATTAAAATTGTCTATGTGGAGGCCATAATTGCTTCCAAATCCCAGTTTGTAATCGTTTGACATAATCACACTTATGTATACAAAAAACATGTCTCCAAGTGGTATTCTTACCCAAACAGTGCATCCACTTGACCACCCTAAAATAATCAACTTAATACTAAAAATCTTACATAGCGTAGAATATAACTGATGTTGTTTCACAAAGAGTATCGTTTTGTATTTTGAATAAAATTATATTTTTACCTTTGCTGTTTTAGTGTATTAGAGTAGTTCTAGAGGAAAAATCGAGTAAAAATGTCACACAGGAAACAAAATATTTTTCCGTTAGTGTATTAGGTTTCTTTAAACTGTTAGATTTTCGTACTTTTCTTACTTACGTGCTTTATGACTTTATGTAAGCAACATTTGTCATTTACTGACCT